TCTTCTCTTGGTGAACCTCTGGAATCCAGCAGACAGCACTACCTCCGTAATCAGAACGAAGAGAAGACGGGCGTGGGGTGCAAGGTGGCTCAGAGGTTGCTGGGCACAAGTACTCCCTGTCCGTCACATCCTTCTGCAGACGAGTGCCAAGTGACTCCAGATGGAGACACACACGCCTCTAAGGAAACAGGACAGCTGCACACACACACACACACACACACACGCCTCTAACACCGCCCGACTCGGAGGAAGCAAACAGGACAGCTAGGAGCTGACCTTGTCACCAATGCATTCGTGTGTGCATCTCATGTACCAAAAATGCAGGTCAGTATCCCAGAACCAGGCAATCAGAATTCTCCACAAAATTTGGACTGGCATTCAATGAAAGAAAAATCTCCCACGAATTCCATGATAAGCAAAAATCCATGAGAAGAAAACGGGATTTTTTTGTGTGTTGTTTCAGTTGTGTGGCACAGAGACAAGACTGTTCCCAGGCTGGTTTGGCCAGGGCTGGGAACTCAGTCCACGTGTCCCATGTGGGCAGGAGGGACCCACTCACTGCATCACCTCTGCTGTCCAGGGCCTGCATCAGCAGGAACTGGAAACAGACGCCAGGGCTCAGAATCCTACCAGACACCCCGAGGTAGGGAGCCCGTGTCTCACAGGCGAGGCCAGAACCCACCCTGCTGTAACCACCACCACCCACCCCGCCTTTGCTTGTACTGTTACTGCTGCTATTACTACTGCTGCTGCTACTAATAGTACTACTACTAGTGCTGCTGCTGTTACCCACCCCGCCTTTGCTTGTACTGTTACTGCTGCTATTACTACTGCTGCTGCTACTAATAGTACTACTACTAGTGCTGCTGCTGTTACCCACCCGCCTTTGCTTGTACTGTTACTGCTATTACTACTGCTGCTACTGCTACTAATAGTACTGCTACTAGTGCTGCTGCTGTTACCCACCCCGCCTTTGCTTGTGCTGCTACTGCTATTACTACTGCTGCTACTGCTAATAGTACTACTGCTACTAGTGCTGCTGCTGTTACTACCACCACCCACCCCGCCTTTGCTGTGCTGTTACTGCTATTACTACTAATAGTACTACTGCTACTAGTGCTGCTGCTGTTACTACCACCACCCACCCCGCCTTTGCTTGTGCTGCTGCTGCTGCTACTGCTATTACTACTGCTGCTGCTACTAATAGTACTACTGCTACTAGTGCTGCTGCTGTTACCCACCCGCCTTTGCTTGTGCTGCTACTGCTGCTACTACTAATAGTACTACTGCTACTAGTGCTGCTGCTGTTACTACCACCACCCACCCCGCCTTTGCTTGTACTGCTGCTGCTGCTGCTACTGCTACTGGTATTACTACTGCTGCTACTGCTAATAGTACTACTGCTACTAGTGCTGCTGCTGTTACCACCACCCCCCCGCCTTTGCTGTGCTGCTACTGCTACTACTACTAATAGTACTACTGCTACTAGTGCTGCTGCTATTGCTACTGCTGCTGCTACTCAGTATTACTGCTACTAGTGCTGCTGCTACTACTTATAGTACTACTGCTGCTGGTGCTATTACTACCATCTTAATGTGCGAGGGTTTGCAGTCCAACTGATGGAAACAGAAGATTTGTAAATAAAAATTTGAAGAAAAAGTAAAAGAACCAAGAAGAGAAAAGCAGCAGCGACTCAGGGAGAGCTGACCACGCTCGTTTGAAAACGACTTGATTCAAAGAGCTCCCATTGGCCAGCGCCACGGCTCACTAGGCTAATCCTCCACCTGCGGCGCCGGCACCCCGGGTTCTAGTCCCGGTTGGGGCGCCGGATTCTGTCCCGGTTGCCCCTCTTCCAGTCCAGCTCTTGGATGTCGCCTGGGAGGGCAGTGGAGGATGGCCCAAGTGCTTGGGCCCTGCACCCCATGGGAGACCAGGAGAAGCACCTGGCTCCCGGCTTCGGATCGACACACCGGCCATAGCAGCCATTTGGGGGGTGAACCAACGGAAGGAAGACCTTTCTCTCTGCGTCTAACTCTGCCTGTCAAAAAAAAAAAAAGAGCTCCCATGAGGGACCCATGGGAGCTTCAGGCAGGATTAAGAGAAGTGGACTTCAGACCCCTTCAGACCTCAAGGTTCTCCTTGGGCCGACCTCGATGAAACGTGTTTTCTTGGATTCCATCATAATACATGGGAGGTCTTTAAAGTTAGTGCAAACGCAAGCATGGACCTCAACGTTCTTTGGCACCAACATGAACTCACCTTCTCATTGCATTTTCCACAAAAGCTGTGGGGTCCCCTGGTGCGCTTTAGATGACGGGGAGCAGAGCTGGGGGAGAGGGGAAGGGCAGCAGGTATCAGTGCAGGTGGGGGGGTGTCGGGACGCCGACCACTGCTCACCTCTGAGAAGTGGAAGGGAAGCACTCCCCCAGGTAACCGTCTGTTAAGAAGCAGCAGACGCTGTCGCCTCAATGACAAGAGAGAACACCCGTCATCGGGCTGAGCGACTCCCGGGTCCCAGCCCAGACTCAGGGGAAGCACAGGTCACTCGGCAGGGTCAGCGTGGTGCCAGCAGCCACCTGCAGGCAGAAGCCACTGGCACAAGCGACACCTGCCCTGGGTCCTGTACGGTGTGTGCCACCGTGGCGCTCTCAGCACTGTCCCCCAGGATCTGTAAAATGCACACCCAGCCCCGGCCCGGCTTCAGCACGTGTGGCCTGAGAAATCCAAGTATCCGTACCGCTGGTCAGAAACCCAGGATGCCAGGGTCCACCAAGCACCCATAGGATCCCCAGTCTGCACCCTCACTGGATCCCCGGGACCTAACGCGGAGGTGAAGTTGGGGACGCTTGGCTCCAGGAGAAGTGACTGCAGGTTAAAACAGGGCCCCTTCGACACACCACACGGTGGAACGCGGCACGCGGCCACCAGATCCAGCGACCTGGGAGTCTGACGCGTGTGAAGTATGCTGCCTTACAGACAGAAACTCTGATTACACGCAGTCACTGCCCTGCCCTTAAATTCACTGACCAAAGCTGCACCATCACTGTTCTCTAGACGTGCACGACTGACAGTCACCCGTTGCAGCCCCAAGTCCCAGCACGCGACTGCACCTGGAGACACAGAATCTAAAGGAGAGGAGGAGACAGCCGGGTCATCAGGTGGGCTCCAGCTGAGACAGAAGGGAAACTCTGGACATGGACATGGACATGGACATGGGGAGGAGTCCTGAGCCTGCCAACCCCTCGTCTCTGCAGCGTGAGAAAACCAGGAGCCGTCAAGGTTGCCCAATCTGCAGTAGCTGGGTGGCTGGGGAAGGGAATCCAGGCACACAAGCACGCCTGAGAACCCACGCCCATCAGAAGCAGCTTTCTTCCTGTCTCCGACACCCCCCTGAGCTGGCGAGGCCTTGCCCACCAACCTCTGCCCCGTCTGTGTTCTCTAGGGGATGTCCCACCAGGACACCAGGGACATTGACCCGCAACTGCCACAGTGTGGAGAATGACACAGCAGAGCCCTGCAGAGCGTCCAAGGCTGGCCAACCGGAACCCCCCGCCGGCTACACAGGTGGTGGCCGTGCTTAGCCAGAACCCCATCCCGCACCGACTTCCACAGGACGCCAACTCCATTCCCACTGTGGATTCACTGCCAGGGACACGATCACACCCCCAACCGTGGACCATGGTGCTGTCCCCAGGGTACTACTCGCTCACCGCGGAAGGCAGCGTCAACCGGGGACGCACCTGTGCACCAGCCAGGAAGCGAACAGGAGCTGCCTGTTCTGAACCCAAGACCCACAGGCCTCTCCCACGACGCGCTCCAGTCTGTGTGTAACACGGACTCTCGTGGGTATAACAAGCACCCCCCAGCAGGAGCAGGTGACACTTCCGACCCTGAACCACCTGGACCCATGCCCCTCTGGGTGGCAACCCAGACACAAAGGAGCTGAGGGCGTGGTCAGTGGCCTGGAACCTACTGCTCGAATAAACCGGACGCTGCCCAGAGCACCTGGCACAGGACACTGCTGGCCAGAGGGGCCAGTGACAGTGCTGCTGAGTCCCAGGCCACAGGGAAGGAGTGTCAGGTGTAGAATCCCCCACGCACAATTCCACCACGCGGGTACAACAGCTCTCACTCCACAGACAGGAAGCTAAGTCTCGCGATAAAACAGGGGGTCCCCTGTGACACCCCAGGGCTGGGGTGAGCCCCTCCCAGCCCACGCCAACTCGGCTCAGCTCCAATAGATGCAGAGGCCAACAGCAAGCTGCATCCTCCTAACTCAGCCAGCAAAGAATGCCGTGCCCCCGGGCCTGGGGCTACTGGGCAGGAGAGATGCCTGCCAAGGAGGGGGCGGAGCCAGAGGGTTCTCCAGCGTCAGGAGGGCGAATCAGAACCGATTCTTAGGTTCTGATTCTGTTTATTTGAAGGGCAGAGCAGGATGAGATATTTCCATCTGTTCAATCACAAATACCCAGGTCAGGACTGGACCAGGCTAAACCGGGAGCCCGCGTACTTGGCCTGGAAGTGGAGCAGGGACTGGAACCCAGGCACTCTGAGGTGCAGGAGGCTCTGCCACAATGCCTGGCCCCGCTCCCCCAGACTCAATTCTGAAGCTGCTCGTAAAGAAGACATCAGGATGAAATACATAGAGAGCCCACGTCCACATTTATACACGAGTGTATTTAAACCTTCCAGAAAATCCAACTAATATTTCCTAACTGAACGCTACGTTGTACTAGATATTTAAATAAACGAGCTACGACAGATAAGTAGACCCTACCAAACACACCACAGTTAACGTACACTTTTATGATATGGGATGTGTATCACTTCTAATCCCTATTCAGGTTAACCACCACGCTCGTGCACGTGTGGGCACACACACTCCCACCTTCCAGCACTGGAACCCATACATCACTGAATGAGTATCTCAGGGCTATTAGAAAACATTAATTCAATTCCTCAAGCTAAATTACATTTCACAAAACCCATCAATGGACTTGAGCAGAGCCTCCACATGATTAATGCGTCCTCAGAGATGGGGCAGCCGGGGGCCCGGCACGGGGAACGCACTGCCAGCCCCGCACAGGAGACCACAGTGATCCTGCCTAGATACCATACACACCTGGACAGGTGAGTGCCATTCACTCCATTCAGGGGCCCCGCACGGGAACGCACCGTCACCCCAGCCCAGGAGACCACAGTGATCCTGCCTAGATACCATACACACCTGGACAGGTGAGTGCCATTCACTCCAGGGGCCCCGCACGGGAACGCACCGTCACCCCAGCCCGGGAGACCACAGTGATCCTGCCTAGATACCATACACACCTGGAACAGGTGAGTGCCATTCACTCCATTCAGGGGCCCTGCACGGGAGACCACGGCGATCCCCCTTGGATACGGTGCACACCTGGAACAGGTGAGTGCCATTCACTCCATTCAGGGGCCCCGCACGGGAACGCACTGTCACCCCAGCCCAGGAGACCACAGTGATCCTGCCTAGATACCATACACACCTGGACAGGTGAGTGCCATTCACTCCATTCAGGGGCCCAGCATGGGGAACGCACTGTCACCCCTACATGGGAGACCACGGCGATCCCCCTTGGATACGGTGCACACCTGGAACAGGTGAGTGCCATTCACTCCATTCAGGGGCCCCGCACGGGAACGCACTGTCACCCCAGCCCAGGAGACCACAGTGATCCTGCCTAGATACCATACACACCTGGACAGGTGAGTGCCATTCACTCCATTCGGGGGCCCCGCACGGGAACGCACTGTCACCCCAGCCCGGGAGACCACAGCAATCCTGCCTAAATACTATACACACCTGGACAGGTGAGTGCCATTCACTCCATTCAGGGGCCCCGCACGGGGAATGCACTGTCACCCCTGCACAGGAGACCACGGTGATCCCCCTTGGATACCATACACACCTGGAACAGGTGAGTGCCATTCACTCCATTCAGGGGCCCCGCACAGGGAACGCACTGTCACCCCTGCACGGGAGACCACAGCGATCCTGCCTAGATACCATACACACCTGGAACAGGTGAACTCCATTCAAGACTCCCTGTCATTTCAGACTCCACACTGTTCTCTCACTAGGAAACCAGGAGAGCACAGGTTTCCAAGGAGGCTTAAAGAAAGCCCGTTGTGGAGAAAGGCGATTCCTCCATGAGCCGGGCTCGGCGAGGAAGGTGGCGGCGGCTGGTTAAAGCTGGACCGTTTGTCACGGATTTGCATGCATTACAGCGCACGGTGCTCACCTGTGCCCCTCCCAAGCGGTCAGAGCAGCGCCGCCCTTGGCACCTCACACAGCAAAGGCTCTGTTTCTGGAACAGTCCACCGCAACCCGCAGATGACACCCAGCACGGGGACACACTCTGTAGTACAGGGTGTCTGTCCCACCTGGGCCTGCTAGTCGAAGGCCGCCGTGTGTGAGAGAGACAGAGAGAGAGAGAGAGACACTGAAGTAGAAAAGCAGCATCTTCGAAATGACCACAGGAGGCCAGCACTGTGGCGTAGAAGGTTAAGCCTCCACCTGCAGCACCAGCATCCCATATGGGCGCTGGTTCAAGTCCCAGCTGCTCCTCTTCCCTTCCAGCTCTCTGCTGTGGCCTGGGAAAGCAGAAGATGGCCCAAGTGCTTGGGTCCCTGCACCCACATGGGAGACCCGGAAGAAGCTCCTGGCTCCTGGTTTCAGATTGGCACAGCTCCGGCTGTTGCGGCCATCTGGGGAGTGAATCAGTGGATGGAAGATCAATCTCCCTGTCTCTCCTCTCTGTAACTCTACTTCTCAAATAAATAAAATCTTAAAAGAAATGACCCACAATTTACACCTCACTTACAGCCTTAACAAAACCGAACACAGGCATTTTTCTGTGATTGAAAAAATGAACTACACGGCTTCTGCTAACGGATTGTTTTCTTCAGTCTGTCTCCATTACACTAATACTCAGATCACTAAGCCGGTATCAAGCGCGCTCCCACTGCTCTCGCACTGGGCTTTGCAAGAAACCAGAAAACCTCAGGACGGGGAGAAAGAAATCCCCCTGTTATAAAGACGGATTAGCCTGCCTTGGAGTCCCTTTGAAGGCAGATGAGCGCCATGAATAGAAAATGGGTTTAAACGCACTCAGATCTGGGCTTTGATCCCAGTTTTGGCACCTCCTGGGCCGCCTCTGTGCGGTCCCTCCCGCTGCACCTTGCTTTTGTTGGCAGTGTTTAAAACACACAGGACAGAGCCAAGCACACGCGAGACACAGGGCCAGGGGAACTGAGAGGGACTGTGTGTCAGACACACCCATCGGCTCAGAGACACAGAACTTCTCACGGCGGGAAAAGGACCAGCCCTAAGTACACGCTGCGGCGTGGTGGGTGAAGCTGCTGCCTATGACACGGGCATCTCACGTGGGCACCACTTCCCACGCAGCTCCCTGCTAATGGCCTGGGAAAGCCGTGGAAGACGGCCCAAGTGCTCGGATCCCTGTACCCACATGGGAGACCCAGAGGGAGTTCCTGACTTCAGCCTGGCCCAGCCCTGGCTGTTGAAGCCATTTGAGAGTAAACCAGCAGATGGAAGATATCTCTATCTACATATCTCTCTCTCTCTTCCTTCTCCTTAAAATAAATAAACAAATCTTTTTTAAAAACATCGTTAGGTCGAGGCAGGCGTTTGGCACAGGGTTAAGCTACCACTTGGGGCACAGCGTCCCCCATCACAGTGCCCGGTTCCTGAGTCCAACTTCCTACGAATGCGTGCACGGAGTGGACAGCAGCGACGGCGCAGGAATCCGAGTCCCTGCCACTGCCATGGGCGAGCCGGATGGAGTCCCGGGGCATCTGAGCACGGGCCAGCAGGTGGGAGATCTGTCTCCGGGTGCTTCTGTCTATCAGGATGTCCGGTTCAGACCGCAGCTGTGAAATCCTACCTTCCCTTTTCTTCCTTAGGCAAATTAGCCTCTCCTTAATATTTAAAAAGTCTTTCCTGTGCGATGAGACGGAGGAGTGGGGACAGGAAGCTATCTGTCCAACGGCACGGCAAAGATAAATGAATCAAAACACTGAGTTTTTATTACAATAGAAATTCACACTGCAAAATACTTACTGAGTGTCCATCTGGAATCTACTAACCAGAACGTCCTTTGAAGACCTAAGAACCCAGCACTTTTTGCTTGCAACAGGGGCAGTTTAAATCTACTGTAAAACAGCAAAGTCGGACGCCAGCCCGTAAAGCAGCCTCCAAGGCAGAATGCCGCTGTGTGGCTCAAAATCGCACGATCTCCTTGCATTCTCCTCCCAACGGCGTTCCCGGGGCCCATACGCGGGGGTGCTTGGTCCCTTGATAAATCACTTTCTAGGAAAGCCAGTAAAATTTATGTGTTAGTGTGGAATCATTTCTACCACTGAAACGGGCGCAAAATAAAACTTTATTTTTCACTTAATTATTTCAGATAGGAAGAGTTCAGTACTTAGGTTAAAAAAACAAACTCAGGTTAAATCTTAAAATCCCCTTGGTGTTTTTTCCCTCCTACCCTTGCCTCAAATGCCATAGAGAGAATAAAAACCAAGGCTTTCCTGGAAAAGCAGTGGGGGAGGAGACCCCAGGGGGCCCTGAGAGACCAAATCTCATCCCAGCTACAAGGTCCCTTACATATGAATGGAGTCACCTTGGCCCAGGTGCAATCCAGCAGGTAAACTTGGGAATATCTGAGTCCAACTCGGACCCCTTTTTCCAACATGTGCTTCCTGAATCTGGTAACTGAAGACAAAATTCAAGCTGCCAACACCCAGCACAGGCGCACGGTGCAGGTCTAGGAGCTGTGGAGGCGAGGGCCTGCGTCTCCTGCACAGAGCGGCAGGGCCGAGCGCAGCACTTTTTAATATATCATCTAAATCTCAAATAAGTCTGGAGAGAGATTGCTCTGGAGAGCAGGGATTTAGCCGGCTTTAGGCACATAAATAAGAAATCGCTCCCAGCTGTGGAGTTTAAATAGCGGCAGGGTCAACTCCACACCCCAGGGTCCAGGCGTCGGCACGTCCACAACGGAGGCAGCGGGCACCGAGCTCAATGGTAGAGACGCCCACGCCACCCACCAGAGTGTCTGGGTTCCGGCGCAGGCTCCCGCTCGGGACTCCAGCTTCCCGCTGACGCAGGCCCTGACAGACGGCAGACACAAGCAGTGGGTCCCTGCTGCCCACGGTGGGGACCTGCACGGAACTCACAGCTGCGGCCCCAGCTCAGCCCTGGCGTGCTAGGATGGAGCAAGGGTGCAGACAGAGGAGGGCAGAATGCGTCTAAGCAAGAACAGCTCAGAAGCAAGGACTTGGGGCCACCAGCGTGGGGCCTGGGGGGACAGCAGGACAGGAGTTCCCACAGTTGCTCAGAGAAGGACCCAACACCCTGAGTGACAGCTGCCTCCTCCACTGCTAGAATGTCAGTGTTTTTTCTGTTTGCATCTATATAAAATAGAACGATATACATCATACATGTCTGTCAGTTCCAAGAACAATTCAAAGATTTCATGACCAAACGCAGCTAACAGACACGTTTGCTTTGGTGTAACGCAGTTCTGAAATCCATTCAGTTTTTTCCATGTGTACATTTTCCACCAACTGGTTGGAGGTCCCTCATGTGCAAGGATTTCTACACGTTTTGCACCAAAATAAAATCTTTGTAAACTCCACATTCCATAGGTTTTTTGAAGCACACTCGTAGTTTCTACCTCGAACTACTCCCAATAAGTTTGTGAAAGACAAATATCTTGTTTAGAAAAACAGATGTTCCTTGAGCAAGATCCCAAACATTGCTCCTCGAGGAAAACAGTACTAAGACTCAGTCTAAGGTTCTGCGCATGAGGGAGATGAAGTGGGGGGACTGGGGTGTGCGGGGGAGGCGCAGCTTCCGGTGGGGACAGTCACGCTGGCCCTGGTCCCTGCTCTGGTGAGCTGCGGCATCACCCTCAGCACGGGGGCTGCGTGTGTCTCAGCAAGCCGTCACGTCTCCAGTCTTTTCTCTGGGAAAAATGCGATCCTCACCTGCAGTCTGAGAACTCTGAAACCATTGTGTTTTGAAATCTCACACAAAACAGCCGCGGCCCATCAGCGCTGACTGCTGGAAATGAAATCCTTGGCACAGAACCTCTGTGCTTACTGGAGACACGTTCCCGCCATCTACGGAAAATGAGGGGTCTACGACGCCCCCAGGAGCAGGAGGGGGCTCAGGAGCAGCCAGAGAGGAAGTGGGGTTGCAGCAGCCACGCAGGACCGGCACGAGCAGTGACCGGGAGGTCAACCTGCGGCTTCACCCCAAGGCTCGGTCCACCCCAGAATGTCACACTTTAGGATTCCAAAGTCAAAGGCGAGCACGGCATGGATGCAGCACTAAATTTCAAGCGTGTTCTGCGTAACAGGAGAACGGCGGGCTGGCTGTGGAGGATGGGGGGGCAGGGGGAGGAGGAGGAGGAGACACGCATGAAGCAGGCTCTTCTTTTTATTGACCTGGTCTGCTGCCAGGCAGGCTTCGGTTCACATCAGGAACGAAGTGGGTGGACCCCGAACGCACTGGACAGCGTGAGGAGCAGGGACAGTGGCCAGGAGCCATCCCAGGCGCAGGGGACGGAGGGCGGCTATGAACGGTCTCCAGCCTGGACGACCACTGCCACAAGGGGCTGAAGTTACACACCTGGCCACTCCCAGCATGCCCAGCCCCCCTTCTGGCCCACCTGTCTCAACTTGCCCTTCCTGGCCCTCCCTCCGCCACACCACAGCCTCCAGCAGGGAGGGAGTCAAGTCCCCCCTACCCTGAGACCCCAGGCCAAACCAAACGCTCACAAAGCTGCCTCATCACCCCT